GCCCATCTGGGGGAAATTGGACAACCCCTTGCAGAAGGGCTGTGGGGAGGTGAGGAGCAATTTGGAGTGCAGTGTAGTAACGATAAAATATGCAATTTTCCTCTAGTTCTTAAATGCTTCCTCCACTCCACTACCATGATCCCAATTCTACCTTACGTATCCGGCTGGACTGGAGGAGGTGCACTGGCACAGACAGGAACTGGAAATACAGTGAACCTAGGACAGATGAACCCCCCAGGACCAGTGGAGAGAGTGGCGATGGCGGGAGGGTGAAGGGAAGGAGAGGGAGAAAGGGGGAACAGAGGACAAGGTCTGCATGTGGCCTCCTCCCTGGGAGATGGACAGCAAAGAAGTAGATGAGGGAGACGTTGGATGGGGTAAGATATGATAAAATAATAATAAATTATAAATTATCAGGGGTTCGAGGGGAGCGAGGAGGGAGGGGGAAAAATGAGCTGACACCAAGGGCTCAAGTGGAAAGCGGGTGTTGTGAGAATGATGAAGTCAACATATGTACTAATGTGCTGGACACAAATGACATATGTACAGATTGTGATGAGTTGTATGAGCCCCTAATAAAATGATTATTTAATTAAAAAACAAAACAAAACTGCGGACCATACAGTTAGCAACCCAACACAGAAGCTCTCTGTCACCAGGATCAAGAGTGGGGGTTTAATTCTGGCTGTGATAAAAAGCTACTGAAAGGTTCTCAGCCAGAGGGTCCCCCACTGCTACTCCATAAACACTCCTTTTAACTGACTAATGCACCAAACTCCAGAGATCCTGTACTCTTCTCCTGAGAATTCCCCTGGGCTGAAAGGAACTACCTTCTCCCCAGGAAATGCAGGTGAGCTTACATCTCCTTCTCCCACATGGGGTACAGCCCAGAGCCAATGACGAATTGGGGTATACCAAAGGCCAACATCTCTGCTTAAGGAAGGTCCGCTCTGAGGGTTCGCACTACAGGTAGAGGCTCTGCTGAGCTTCCTTCTCTGTTCTCTGCAGCTGCTCTTACTCAACTACAGGTTCACCCCACAGCACGCCCTCAGGAAGTTTCTTACCCAGAAATCTTCATGTCAGCATCTGCTTCTAGGGACTCTGACTTGTGCCAGAGTAAAAAAGGAAATCTAACTTTCAGCTGTTCTTGCTTGACAGTGGCTTCTG